GCCCCACAAACAGTCCCATAAAGGTACAGCGCAAGGGTCCCCCTATGTCTGCAACCAGTGTGGAAAGACATTCACTCAAGCCTGTAATCTGAAAGTTCATCAGAGGATCCACCTGGAGCAGGGCCTCCATCTCTGCAGCCACTGTGGAAAAGGATTCCCGTCCATCGCAAACTTAAAAGCACATAAATGCGGCCAAAACGGCAACAAACCTTATTGCTGTGCTGTTTGTGGGAACAAGTTCAGCCGTCTGTGGAACCTGAAGCTGCACCAAAGGATTCACACGCAGGAAAAACCTCACAGGTGCAGCATGTGTGACAAAAGCTTCACCAGGGCGGATATTCTGAAGGTGCACCAGCGCACCCACACAGGGGAAAGACCCTACTGCTGCGCAGTCTGTGGGCTCAGCTTCAAACGCCTGGATCACCTGAAGTCCCATCAGCGCAAGCATGTGACAGATCTGTAGGACTAAAGAGTGTGTTATTTAATGGGGCTTTTTATAACCTTTGTATCAAGTGAACATTGATAGGAATAAGTATCTAACTTGATTGATTGCCTACATTTGATGCAGTTATTTAAAAAATGTAAATATTTTGGTATTAAGAAAACAAAGATTTGATCAAATCTACGTGTTATTAAATTATTGTCATCTGCTTTATTGCATCTGCATACTTTGTAGGTTTAATTCACTGTATTTGATTAAATGTGTTTGATTTCTTCACAGGATCTAAATAAAATTGGCTTTTAATGTTATTATGTGGTTAATCTCATCTTCTTCCTTCCAAATTCGAATAAACAAACTGAGATATGCCAGGCAATGATGCAAAGCTTTCTCTACAGTTAATATCAGTTTGTTGCAACTGTTTTCTTTATCCAACAGATTTATTATCTCATCAGATGTGTTTTCTGAAGCTAATGGCTTTTACTACTGTTATGGTTCAACATATTTAAGGGATAATTTAGATTATTTGCTTATTGCAAGGAATCAAAGTTACTTTGATAGCTTCTAGCCTTTAAAAATTCAGCAAAATAAGGGGTCTGTTTTGTAAAATTTAGGATAAAGTCATCAAATAGTCAGTGGTACAGATGGCAAAACTGAAGGATGAACAGTTTTAATTATTTGATTTAAGTAAGCTTAATGTGCATCATGTGCTACAGATGTACATATTTCTGATTAGTCATTTTCGGTGATCTACTAGTTGTTTTCAATCAAAAATGACTTAAAAGTGTGCTGGGGTTTTTCCTATCAGGCTTAACTGAACCTGACCTTTCTTTGCAAATGTATATTTTTGACTTTGATGTATTATGTGGAACTTAATACTCATCTCAGGTGACATTTTGCATAAAAAGACCAAAAATTCAGCTTTTACATCACTCCAGCAGAATACACGGTTTGAAGTAACATTATCTGTCACTATTTTTTTTTTACATTTTGTGACAGAACTAAAGACCTTGATACATTTTATAACAATTTCATAAACAAGGTACCAAAACAAAAGGGGGCATAATTGTGCAGAGGAAGGAAATGGATATCTGTATCTAGAGATGATTACAAATAAAACTGCATGAAGTGCAGAGGCCTATACCACAAAGCAGAATTGCCAGGTTAGCGAATCAAGGTTTCAGGTTTAACCCTGACTTTCCGGTACACAATGCTGGATTCATTCTTAGCAAGGCTAGTCACAATGGAAACGTACTCTGAACGGCAAGCCTGCTCTGGAGCAGGCTAGCTTTCAGGATTGATCTGAACTCTGGAAAATGCTCCATCCAGCAACCAATCAGCTGTTCAAAAAATAATTGTGTCCTTTCATTGAAGGCCTAATTTAATTCAGAGGGGAGATAAAAACTTGCAAAAACCCATCATCATAATAAAGGAACTTGAAAAACAGAAAGCAGTTTAAACAAAATATGTTCTTGACAGTTTTCAATTTATTCATTTTGTTTTCTTTTTCCTCCTTTTTGACATACCAGCCTTTAACTATTCTGTGTTTATTTTCTCCTGTGTAATGTCCTTATATAACCCTGGTATGAACTTGTTTCTTGTATAATTGTTATATGAAGCTAACAAAAAAAAGTAAGAAAATAAAAATCTAAACGCAAATTGTGAAAAGATCCTTTGGATCACTATGAAAATGTGATTGATACAGGTTATCATGGGGCAGACTGGCCTTTATATGCCAGGTCCTAGTACCGTGTGTTGGCCCCTTGGCTGTACACGTAAGGATTTAAGAGTCATTACCTGGATTTCTGTAAAATGTCTTATTCACCACATTATGAAAACTGGGCTGTTAAATATACAGGTTGGCATATACATATATATGTGTGTATATATATATATATATATTCTTTTTCATGTAACGGTATAAGTGAGAATGGGAAATGTTCCACTGATGCTGCACAGATGGAGGATTAATAGTAAAACACCAGGTAAATTAAAATAATAATAAGCAGGCTCCTATTATGAAACTGAACATTGACCATGTAGAAAAAAGCGTCTATATGTGACTGAAACAGCAATGCTATGAAGCTTCATTTCAGTGGAAAAGAAATTTAGGTATTTCTTTAGATTTAGGACAGCATTTGAGGGCTTTCACCATTTCAAAAGTTGAGCAGATTTTACATTTGTCCCACTGAGGTTTGACATCTCAAAAGTAGGCTGATTTCACTCAAACCATTTCCTGTATTAATATTATGCAATTGTGGAATCAGCTTCTACCTTTTTTATAGCCCATATATTATTGAATTAAAATGTCCAACTATCCAGATTAAACTTTTTTTTTTGTTTTTTTACTTTTATCAGCTCCCAAGCCCTCTTCACTCCAGAACATGATTAACATGCAGTACAGGGATTGGATGTAGTTTTTTTTTTTTTTTAAGTCCCTGAGATGTAACTTGAGTGTTTACGTAGTCAACAATCCTTTCCCACGCTAGTATTGTCTCTTTCATGCTGCCACCATGTTTAATTTTTTATTGAGAAATTTTTTTTTCCCCTTCGTATTTCTGTAATTTGAACTCCGTCTCTCTGGGAAGGACAACAACTATTGGTGCTTTGTTTGTCTTTATATAGTCTGCAACTGCAGCCATGATGTTGTTGTAACTCTAGGTCAGGGGTTCTCAAACCCAACCTGAATATCACTGCACACCTAAGTTGGATCTTAAAGTACCATTATAATGTTGGATGATAAATTTCTTCACTATACCTATTCTGCCATCCCCCCAAAAAATGTTTGACAAAGCCTTTTATTATATATTGTTTGAATGTTGTTTATGTTAAGGTATATATTGTGCATAGAAGTATTTGCAAGCAGAAAAAAAACAAGAACAAAAGGCCTTAACATACCGGTATGCACTACACATAATAATCTGAACTGCTCTGTGGAAAACGACTGAAGTGAACAAATATTAGTAATTGTAGTAATAAGAACTGCACTTGAATTGAGTCTTTGCCAGCTATTAGAACAATAGTATCAGCTCAATATGTATTAGAAAGGAATATTTTATTCATCATTAGCTAAGAAGATGGGTGGCATGAAGGTGACCATATATTTATATCTGGCTTAAAAGATGACAGCTCATCTTTTGCCACTAGCCTAATTATGTGTTTACATTTAGTGAGGCTGAGGGATCAGATGCTTTTCTTTAACATATACGTTGTTGTAAAAGTCAACACAAAGAGCTAAACTTTTCAGGCGTGCTTACTTTGGACTTTGGACTTACTCTCCATCCAGCAGTCCAACATTGTTTGTCTGCCAACTGTTGCTGTATAGTGTGGTGAGCTTCAGAGTAAAGCTTCAGGACAAAGTTAAAATAAATGGAAATAAAGTAAAATTATGCAAAATCAGACAAACACATTTTAAAAATCTTTTTTTTTTTTTTTTTACAAACAAAAGATCCAATAATTTTAAACCACCAGGGGGCACTCATGCACCACTATTTGAGAAGGACTTATGGTGTTCTATCTAAACTACAGAAACCAGAACTTTGGCTACCTGCGCCCACAGAGTGTTGAATGTGCTCCTTCAAAATGCTAATTGGAAATTATACAGGGTTATTTCAGTAACTTCTGCTACTCTCCTTTAAAGGTCAAATTTTTAGAGTACAAAATATTTTTCCTGTTGACAGATTCTCTCAACTGTGTTGGTCTGTGCTGCTCCTGCAGCTCCTTAGCTGTTTCTCGTCTCCTTTTCCAAGCCGTCCGTTTAAGGTAGATGGTCCTGTCTAAGTAGGTTTGCAGTTGCACTGTACACCTTGCATTAATAAAGGATTTTTATAATAAAAAGTTTATTCATAATTTTTTTTAACAGGTTTTGCCTAATTAATAACTGCTCTTGTTTTTCCTTCTTTTTTTTTATTACACTTTTTCTTGCAAAACAGAAACAACAGGGACGCACTGATAGTGCACAGAAACATTCAAGTCTGGCATAATAAACAACAACCACAAAACAAAACAAAACAAAGAAATATAAATAAAACAAACGTCAACAAAAAACAATCAAGTAATCAGGGGCACCAAAGAAAATAAATGAAACAATGCATACTCAATTGGTTTTATCAAATATAATGTTTCAAAGTCCACTGGAGCACACTGCAGCTACCAAATATTTGATTATTAATTTAGTTGGTTATTATTTTAATAATCACTCAAGATAAATTATATAAACAGTTTCAGTCCTAAAATGAGCAGGTTTTTGTTTATATGGAAGGCTGGGACCCTGGAAATAACAGCAAAAGTAGGTTCTTAAAATTCAAAGAATCAGTTGTCTTTTGTTGTTTTATCACTTAATATGAAAGTTCAAAAACTGAAAAAAGATTTAAGACATTTAAGAAGAGGTCAAGTAAAAAACAACAATAACCAAACCCACCATGTAATCCTGTTATAAACTGGACTATATATTTATTTTTATTTCAATCCATAAAACACATTTAAATTCGTATTCAAGATTATTATTGCAAAGAAAAAGAATACCAAAAGCTTTATTTTCTGGCCGTCGGGGCCACCGTACTGCGTCATTCATGATGTCATTAGCAAAAAAAAGGAAGCTCCACAAAGTAGATGTTAATTACCAATAATTCAAAACAAAAACAAGTTTAGGTTGAGCCACTTTATCACAATATCTGTTAATTTATATCGATGATCTGATTTATTGTGATAGGTTGCGTTCAGAGCACGCGCTCCATGGTTTACCGCTGTTCAGTTGAAGAGATTTAGCTACCGATGCTAGGCGGCATGCTAACATCACGAGGTTGACATCTCATGTAAGCAATAAGCCTTTTATAACCTTTGTTGTTACAATACTGCTGACAGGTGATTATTATAAATGGATGTATCGCTAAAGAGAAAGTCGCTGATCCAAACTGGCGGCACTTTGAAGATTTTCCCCAAACAGTTGTGAAAGTGTTGAGTTCACTAAGGGGCGGACGGTTATAGGTGCAGTGGATCATGTCGGACCTGGACAGCCTCATTGTCACCTTTCAGAGCCAGCTCTCTGATGTGATGGAGGCTTTGCTGAAAACGGCGATGTTTGAGGTGAGCAGGTTGGTGGAGGATGTCTTCATGGTGGAGGTGAAGCGCAGCAAACAGCAGGTGGAGTCTCTGAGGCTGCAGCTGCAGTGGACTGAGGGCAAACACGGAGGGGACTCACAACACAGCGACCAGTCTGTGGGGAGTGACGCCGATCAGAGTCCTGAAACTTTAAAAGTAGAGGAGCGACATGATGGTAAAAAACAAATGACATGGGTTGTAGAACAGGGCATGGCTGTTTCTATATTCCAGTAATGTAGTTTTGTTTGTTTGTTTTTTTCAGACTCCATGGGTGACATGACCAATCCAGGGGATGTGGTTGAACAATGGTTGTCAAATCAAGGGCAAGAATGCAAAACAGGGTCTGCAGAAAATCCAGAAATCCTTCAGAGCCCCCTAAAAGGGTCAAAGGTGAGTCACATGACTGCCAGAGCAGATATAGGCCTGCAGAAGGACTTACCTTGTTTAGATAGGGAACTCAGTGGTGGTTCTGAAAGAAGTTTACCAAGCGAGGCAGTGTTTTTTTTTTTCCACCAGGATACAAAAAATAATAATAATCAACACAAAAAATGTAAATATAGATAAACAAAAACAAAGCAAGAGCACATTCTTTAGTATTTTAGGTTGCAGACCCCGGAACTAACTGTTCTAATAGATATTAAACTGCAGTAACAGATTTAAATAAGTAAGAATGTGTATTTGACCTTAATTCGAGCAGGTGAAAAAACAATCTCTCCAAGGTATTTGTATTTTTCCTCCTATAATATATGATGCATCATATCTCATGATAAGATATGATGCACTTAAAATAAACAACCGATTTGTTATTTTTTCATTATTTTATTCCAAAGGCAATCTGTATTCCTGCTCAAATCAATGGAAAATACATTTAATTGAAGAAAAATTAATTTACTAAGATTACATTTTTTTTTCAGTGTATGATAGAGGGGGGTATAACCAGGGGCAAGACCTGCTCTACAGGGGCACTGGCACCTGCTAGCCCCTTTTTTAAAACCCCTCACGAGGTTCCCGTATTAAAGGTTTTAAAAAAAATCGTTCTAAAATGTATGCTGTTATAGTTCCTGGGACTTTTACCTGCTAGAAAATGCTAGAGGGAACTGCTGTATGAAGAATAGTATAAAGCAGTTGTGCTCCTTTCTCTACCTAGGGGACTAAAGGGAAGGTTATACTCCCTCAGCAGTGTGTCGCAGTGAGCTTGTCGCAGGGATGACGCAGATGTTTTTGATTTATGCCCGATTTTGAAGCATGGTTTGCGCTATGTTATTCCATGCCACAACACAAGAGGGACAGTCAGGAACTAGCTGTGGGTCTAGCTACGTTCGAGGGGGTGAGGAAGTGGAAAAAGGCAAGGGGCAACGGAGGGACATGACGGCAAAAAAGAGCGGAGATCCAGGTGGAAAAAGGGTCCCAGCGTTCACACGCACCTCGCTCTTCTAGCTGGTCCATCGTAACGAGTCGTTTTCTACAATGGCGGTCATACATACAAAACAAGCCGATAAGGTACCAGACAGGAAATACGCATAGTGTGGAGCGGATGTAGATTTGACCAATCAGAGGCTTCCTGTCTGTAGCACTGTGCGGTCACCTGCGTAAACTGCAACACACACGCAGACGACCTGGTTTCTGAATATAAACCGTCCTTTAGTGGAGGGGTGGCCTAGTTCTTAGAACATTGCTCTTTTGAGTTTAAGCCCCACTCCCACAGACTGCCACTCTGGGTCCCTGAGCAAGACGCTTAACCCCACACTGCTCCTCGGGCGCAACACAATGGCAGCCCACTTCTCCCCAAAGTGATAGGTTAAATGCAGAGAGTTCATTTGGCTGCTTTGTACTTGTGACAGTGTAATTACAATAAAGTTGAATTCTGTTCTACCTATACCTAAAACTGCTGAGCAGCTGCTTTGAAAGCGAGGATTTTGTCTTTCAACTTGCTTCCAGGGAAAACAAATGTTAGTATTCAGAAAAGCTTCCAACTTTGAAAAACAAGCTAACATGGTATAGAAGTATGAGTGACATAATGCTTTTGTGAAAGTAACACTGTTCGTTCAGTATCCTGCAGGCTATGGCTGCAGGCAGATTGCCTTTTAATGATTTAAAAGTTACTAAAAATAAATGTTTAAAAAGTATAATATTCTAAAGGGTTGTTTACTAAATATGAACTTCTAAAATTAGAGAACATCTAATTTCATCTTTGGTGTGCATGTTTAATTCAAAAGTCTTGCAAATAATCATAATAGAATCACTTATTAAAACTCTAACATTTAGTATATTTAAGCAGTAGTCTGTCTTCATGATTGCCTATCTCTTTTTTTTAATTTATTTTTAACTTTGTTAAAACATTGAAACTGTGATATTTTTATTCAAGCTAGAATACTGGAAGATTCTGAACATTATTTGGAAATCCAACCTGCTATGAATATTGGTGTACAACAGAGAAAAAACAAAGGCTGGCATAGGTCTCCTTTCTAAATGAGATCTTAGATCTCAGTGAGACAACCTGTGTAGACAAAGGTGAAAATTAAAAAAGTGAAAATAATATGCAAAATGAAGCGGGTACTGTGTACGCTCTGGTGAACATAGTTTTTTATTCTTGCCGGTACTACATAAAATAATCAATTGGCCCATATTGTCCTTGCCCTGCGTGCATTAAAAGAAATTATATATACAGATATATGTGCCACTTCTCCAGAATAACAACATGAGAGCACTGTTTTTCAGATTTTCTTCAGAACACACAACAAGGCTTTTTAAGTGGTGCGGTTTGGCTTTTATTGACAGCAGCGTGTCTGGAGAAAGTCAAACAGACCACATAAAAGAAACCTGCAATCACTGAGCAACCTGCACACTCCTCTGGACCACACAATACATACCAGTGATTTTTAAAGGCGGCAGCAAATCAATAGAAGTATTACTGCAAAAGAAAAAAAAAGAAAACCAAGGTGTTGCAAGACATCAACACACCTCAGCCTGACAGAGCTGACGAGAACCCTAGAAAACAGAATAAACTGTCACAATGTTTGAAAAAAATGTGGGGGGAAAAACTTTCACAATGATGTAAGAGAGTGAAAATGTCATAGAATCCTACTTCTACTATTTAATTTATATGATACTGTGAGGTGGTTTTTTTTTAGGGGGTTGTGTTTATGTCTATTGGAGAACTAGTTGAGCTTGATTTAGTGCTTCAACTAGATTTAGACAACTTGTTTAGTTTCAATCACCAGTGAGAGTGTCAGAATAAACTAATTCAGATTGCCTTGTTATTTGGTTCTCATCACATGTCATTCTTTGTTCAGTTAACAGAAGGGACGGAAATCATTTCAACTTTGGAAATGAAAGAGGAAGAAGTAAAGAAACCATCTTGTTCTTCCCTGCATATGAGACAGTGGTGCAAGACTCCAGATTGTAAGTAACTGATTTAACAATTGGAAAGAACATTTGAAAAGCAACACAATCTGTAAATGTCAAGATAAATGTCTTTTTGTGAGCCGTGTCCAGTTGTTTGACTAAAGGGTTGGTTATACTCCCTCAGCAGTGTGTCGCAGTGAGGTTGTCATAGGTATGACGCAGACATTTTTGATTTATGCTCAATTTTGAAGCGGGGTTTGCGGTATGTTATTCCACGCCCCAACACAAGAGGGACAATCAGTAACAAACTGTGGGTCTAGATAAGGCCGAGGCGGTGAGGAAATGGGGGCAAGTTTGCCCAACAACGGAGGGATATGAGGGCGAAAATGAGCGGGGATCCAGGTGGAAAAAGGGTCCCAGCGTTCTCACGCACCTTGCTCTTCTAGCTGGTCTGACTTCATAAGTCGTTTTCCGCAATCGCGGTCATACAAACAAAACAAGCCGGTAAGGTACCAAACAGGAGATTCGCATGAGTAGAGTGGATGAAGATTTGACCAATCAGAGGCTTCCTGTCTGCAGCACCGTTTGGGGTCACCTACGATTTGAGAGAGGTTCCTGCGGAAGGAGGGGGCATTTCCACATAAACTGCAACATACATGCAGACGACCTAGTTTATGAGTATAAACCATCCATTAGGGAATGGGTGGCCTAGTGCTTAGAACACTGCGCTACTGTGTTCAAGCCCCACTCCCACAGACTGCCACTCTGGGTCCCTGAGCAAGACCCTTAACCCCACACTGCTCCTTGGGCGAAACACAAAGGATATATATATATATATATATATATATATATATATATATATATATATATATATATAT